TTAGTCTACTGAAAGTATGGACAAGATGAGCAAATAACATCAGAAACCTTGCACCCTACAGATCCCGGCAGTAATATTCCAACGGCTAATACTATCGATTTTTGGTAATTCTCTGCAAAATGTTGAGATTACCCCTAAGTTCCATGCTCTACCCTACTTTGCTGGTTATCGTCGTCTTTGCGTAGGCCTCGTTACTGACCTCTTCTATTTGTTACAGCTAGTCCTTGTCCGTCATAAAATGCCAAGCCATTGTTCGCGGTATTGCTGCTTGAACGAAGCTCTATCATGGAACCTTTGTTGATGCATTTTACTATCGTTCATCGTGCCGCTTTATGCAGGAATTCTGGTAAATTAAGCAGCGCATCACCCAAAAATTTAGCTCCATCTATGTCACAGTTCATTGACAACCAGGCGGAGGAGTCGGAGCACGACGATAGCGACGCCTCCTCGCTTGAGGATATTGCGGTGAAAAAGAAGCAGAAGCGGGTCAAAAAGCGAGCCCTTAGGTAAGAACTAGCGCCTCAAATTCCCAGTGCGATCTACGCTAAGCAACTTGATAAATGATGCGTTGCCTGCAACCCATGGAGCTGCACAACCAGTGGTTTTTCAGTTCGGACGAGTCGGGCAATGAATCCGGCGAGGAGCGCAAGAAGAAGAAGAAAAAGAAGAAGCGAGTCGCTGACAGGTATGCCCTTGGCTTTACCATCCCGTGCACAACTCGGGCTTCTTAGTGACGAAGAAGACGAAGGAAGCACTGACGAGGACGATCGGTTGCGAGAGGAAATGAAGGTGCGCTCTTCTGAACACGATAACTATGATCTTACTTAATTCCGACTGAAACATTACCCTGCTGTCAAAACAATTTCCTCCTAACATCCGTAGCAATTCCAATATGCTGCCTAGCCATTTCTGGTTTAGGACTTTGTCGTCGATCCGGGTGATGAAGAAGGCGAAGAGGAAGGGGATGACAATGACGAAGAGGTACGCAATGAACTTATGTATACATTCTACAAAATTTCTTTCAGAGAAGCAAGAGCGGCTCTGAGCTCGAAGAAGACCTTGAGGAGGACGACCTTGAGCTCGTAAACGAGAACATTGGCGTCCAGCGAGGTGGTCGCGTCGTGCTCGACAGTGACGAAGAAGATGACGACAGGCAGCGTCTCAGAAACGACCTCTTTGGCGTCGACGACGACGAAGCCCGTGAGGAGCGTGACTACGGCGACCGGCGAAGTGTGGGCTCGCGGAGCGATTCAGAAGAGTCAGGTAGCCACTAGACCTTTGCCATGATCTAGCCTAACTCGACTGCAGAAAAGTTCATTGTCGAGGACGACGAGGATCGTGGGCACCGCAAGAAGCGCCACAGGCACAAGGAGTTCGACAGCCAGTAAGCAGCAGGACTTCCGTTCGAAGTAATCATGAAACTATAGGTACGTTGACGACGCTCGCGACGTGTTCGGCGTGGACGATATCGACGACTTCTACGACGAAGACGAGATGATGATGGAGGAGGACATGGAGGATGAGGAGCAGGCGGAGGGACGCGTACCCAAGGCCCGCGTAGCGAAGCAGACGCTCCTTAGCGCGATAGAGCCCTCCGAGCTCGACAAGGGCTTCCTCACCGCCTTCGACAAGCGCGTGATCTTTGAGGATCGGCCCGAACGCTTCCAGGTATATTGGCGGAAAATAAACGCAACACGGTAACCATCAAAAGTTTAGCTGCGACGCGTTCCGGTGACGGAGATCGACGAGGCGGAGGTACAGCAGGAGACGCTGTGGATCAAGGAGTACGCCTTCGAGCAGTTCCCAATGTCGCAGCAGGTCGGTGCACTGAGTCGCAAGTAATGTAAAACAGCAGAGTAGACGTAACTCGCTTTCAAGTGCTCGCCATAATGCAACAGACAAGTGTCTTTCAGGTCGGTACTCGCTTCAAGATGATTGACGACTCCGAGGGTACCAACGAGCACCGCGACGTCTTGACACGCTTGGACGAGGACGCGCCGAAGAGCATCACTCAGACGCTGCTCTTCATCCGAAACCAGTTATTCGAAGTACCGTTCATCGCGTTCTATCGCAAAGAGTTCATCCAGAAGTCGCTAAAGATCACCGACTTGTGGAAGATCTACGCGTACGACGAGAAGGTTAGCGACGGGGAGCATGTCAAATTGATTTCAGTCGTTTAGTACTGCCTGCTGGACCTCAGGAAGAAGAAGCTGCGCGAGCTGTACGAGCGCATGGCGAAGTACATGGCGAGCTGTAGCTACGAAGACGTCGAGCGACTCCGAAAGGTCGAGGAGACGGACTACATGGCGTAAGCATTGATGTCTCATTGAGCTGTATGACAGCGGGAATTCGAAGTTAAGCGGCCTACCTTATTCATTCTCACGCTTCTAGGGTGAACNTGGTACGTCGATATCGTTTGGAAACATGCCTTAACCCTGTCGGCTTAGCTCTGCGTCAACAACGGTCTGGGCGATGTCGCAAAGTTGTTCGGCTTGAATCCGGAGGAGTTCGCGTTCAACTACGCCGAGTACCCGAAGTATGAGCTGCAGACTCACGTCGAGGAGTCCCCGCAGGAGGTCGCGGAGCGTTTTTCTGAACACCTGCTTAACCGAGACATCCAGTATGCACTCCCTTATGACCTCGTTAAACAACGTTTTCATTCAGGACCTTCCCGTCTGCGGACGACGTGCTCAAAGGTGCCTCCTACCTTCTCGCGTCGCAGATCAGCCGCCAACCGAGCGTTCGCAAGAAGCTGCGTAAAGATTTCCGCCAGCGCCTTCTGGTCTCCGTGCGTTGCACAAAGAAAGGTCGCGAGGAAATCGACCGGAACAACCCACTGTTCGGCCGAAGGTACATTAAGGACAAACCGGTGTCAAAGCTGGTCGGTGACGAGTACCTCGAGTACATCAAGGTATGCCACACCTAACATGCTCATATCTGACGTCGATCCTTGTTTTCAGGCGCAAAACCTTGGCTTGGTTGAAGTGAAGCTCTATACGGACAAGGACGACAAAGAGATGACGCGTGACACGCTGCTCAACAAGGTCCCGGTTGACCTCTACCAAACCGACGACCAGAACGACGTCGCGCAGGAGTGGAACAAGCACCGACGGGAGGTGATGCGCATTGTGGTGGAAGACCTGCTCGGACCGGTGCTCGAACGTGAGGCGCACGAGCGGTTGTTGGAGGAGGCCAGAGGGCACGTGATGAGGGTAAGTCTGCGTTATGGGCTCTGACTCGAATACCTATCATTTAACTTTAGGCGATCTCGCAGCGAGTGATGGCTCGAGTGGCACAAGCACCCTACAGGCGCGAGTTCACGTACCGCAACGAAGTTGAGGAGGAGGGCGAGCCGGAGGAGGCGACCGTGCGCATCATGGGCCTTGCCTACTCGACCGACCCCAAGGAAGCGTCTTTCGCGGCCGTTATTGACCAGGACGGCACCATGAAGAGGGACGAATACCAACGGCTGCCGAACTTCTTCATGAAAGCTAACCGGAATAACCCCACTCATCCCAAGGTGGGCACTGCCGTAATGCGAAGGAAACTGGCGGAATTTAGACCCGAGACATGGAAATGCTGCGTGACTTCATCGTAAAGACTCAACCACACGTTATTGCGCTCGCCGGCGAAGGCCTTGATGCGATTCGGCTGCAGCTTGATTTGAAGGTCCTTATCAAAAATATGTACGACCAAGGCGAACTGCCCTACTCGCTTCCTGTGGAATTCGTCAACTGCGACATCGCGAAGGTCTACATGATCAGTCAAGCGGCGCAGGTAAGCATTGCGAAGATGAGTGGTGGATATCCAGCTTTTGTCATGATTTGCTTCTCGGCTACTTGCTTTTGATGGACCCTATTCTTTCAGGACGAGATGCCGATGTATCCGCCTGTGCTTCGCGAATCCATATGCCTCGCACGCTGCCTGCTGGACCCTCTCGTCGAGTTCTGCCACTTGTGCAACACCGAAGACGACATCCTCTTTGTGAAGTTCCACCCGCTCCAAGACGAGATCCCGAAGCAGGACGTCCTGTGGACGATCCACCGCGAGCTCATCGACCGCGTGAACGAGGTCGGCGTGGACATCAACCGATGCCTGGAGTTCCCGCATACGGCCGGCATGCTGCAGTTCGTGTGCGGACTCGGCCCGCGCAAGGCCGCCCAGCTGCTCAAGATTCTCAAACAGAACGACAACCTGCTGGAGAGTCGCACGAAGCTCGTCACCTACTGTCGCATGGGTCCCAAAGGTGCGTCATGCGGTGCTCACAACAATCTCTTACCTTGCTTACTTAGTGTTCATGAACGCGGCGGGCTTTATCAAGATCGATACGAATCGCGTGTCTGAGCGAACCGATGCGGACGCGTACGTCGAGGTTCTTGACGGCTCCCGGGTCCATCCTGAGACCTACGAATGGGCTCGAAAGATGGCAGTCGATGCACTGGAATTCGACGATTCCGGTGACCCAACCGCGGCTTTGGAGGAGATCCTGCGACAACCTGAAAGGCTTAAGGACCTTGACCTGGACGCGTTCGCTGAGGAGTTGCAGAGACAGGTGGACTCCAAGCGTTTAATTACATCTACTGCTTGTTGTTAAGGGCTTCGGCGACAAGAGCGTTACTCTCTACGACATCCGTGCGGAGCTGAACAGCCGGTATAAGGACCTGCGCCCGGTGTACAGAAGTCCGGACGGATACGCACAGTTTGAGATGCTCGTGCCCGACAGTTCCTCCATGAAGAAAGGTGAGCATAAACTACGTCCAGTGCCGGGCTTCCTTGTTGGTGCTTGCTGGTGGTCCGCTAAGTGTTACTGGTCCATTGGTTAAACTAGCCTATGACATATATCAGAGCAATGCTGACTGCTCGTAATGGAACATATTCTTTACGCCTTCAGCTTGAATTTTTTTGGAACGGAAGCAACTTAGTGATTAAAAACGTGCACTGTCGTTTTGATTAGGCCCAACGAACATCAAAGAGCGAGCGGCTCGAACGTGTCGCTAAATGGCCGGGTGGCCTAATGGATAAGGCGTCGGCCTCCGGAGCCGAAGATTGCGGGTTCAAGTCCCGCCTCGGTCGTACTTTTTTGCAACTGCAGGAAGCACTTGTTTTGCTCAAAAACTCAGTAGGGCAACTTCAAATCGCTATTGCTAGTTCGTCACATGTTGTGCATGCATCGCCGTTGAGAAGTGGCATATAATTCGCTTCACTTGATGGTTTTGCTACTCATTTCATTTTAGACAACGTTGTGACATGCCAAGTGGTGGCGATCATCCGCAGGCGGCCTACTCAGGATGATGCCTTCGCGAAGCCGCCGTTGCCACACGGGTCACACGGGCAGTTAGCTCAATGCCAGCTGTGTTCGGAGGTGTTCAGCAACGCGGATGCGTTCGGGCACTTCAACGATGGGAACTGCATGGGCAAGCCGATTGGCGCGAAAGTGCGCCTAGACAATGGCCTCATGGGCTTCATCTCGGCCAGGAACATCTCCGACAAACCGAGCGTCTCCGACGAGGAGAAGTGCCGCTGGCTTAAGGTACGAAGTAGCTATCTTGGCTATGCTACGTATGCAAATTTCAGGAGGGGCAGATCATTCACGCGTCGATCATCGCCATCGATTACGTCCGCCTCGAGGCGCAGCTCTCCTCGAAGTCGTCAGACCTGCAGAAAGGTGCCGAGAAGCTGGACGCGAACTTCTGGATGGAGCAGTCGCGCAAGGACGACGAAGAGGCCCAAAAGGCGCGCGAGAGCCAGCAACAACGCAGTCAGTTCGTCAAGCGCGTAATTGCGCACCCGTCGTTCCACAACATCACGTATAAGGACGCGGAGGATATGCTGAGCACCATGGAGCAGGTAGCATGCATTCGCAGTGTGTTGATTTCGTGCACTTCCTGATATTCGTTAACGTCCGATTTTCTAGGGAGAAGTTATCGTACGTCCGTCGGGCAAGTCACACTCGCACTTGACCGTTACCTGGAAGGTTGCGGATGAGGTCTACCAGCACATCACCGTCAAGGAGGAGCAGAAGGAGAGTCACTTCTCACTCGGAAAAGTCCTCTACATCGGCAATGAGGTAGTATCAGCTAGACGTCAGCTCTTCGAAAATTGTCGTTTAGCAATTCGAAGACCTGGACGAAATCCTGGCACGCTACATCCATCCGATGGCGGGGATTGCACGCGAAATCATGCAGCACAAGTACTTCCTCGAGGCGACGAAGGCGGAGGACCTCGCTGTCATTCAGGAACACCTCAAGGAAGAGAAGAAGCGTTCGCCCGGAAGGATTCCGTAAGTGTCTTTTTTGAAAGCAACCTACCAGGCGTTCGCATTCAGGTACGTGTTCACACCGTCAACCAAGTACCCGGGGAAGTTCGTGATCTCGTACCTGGTGCAGAACCGTGTCCGATCGGAGTACATCACCACGATGCCGAATGGGCTGAAGTTCCGCAGCACGGTCTTCACGAGCATCAACGAGCTCATCGACTGGTTCAAGCAGCACTTCCGAGAGCCGCCGCCAAACTTGAAGCGCGACCCGGTGTCCTCGCAGCTGGGCATGACCCGCCCGGACAACCCGAAAGGCGCTCCCGCGGGGTCCGCGCAGCCGCAGCCGCAAGCGGGATTCTCTTCGACGGGATTCGGCCAGTCCGACGCATCCGGTGGTTTCGCACAGCCGCCGTCGTCCGGCTTCGGCAACCGCCCGTCGAGCGGCTTCAACCAGCGCACAGCGTCCGGCTTCGGCCAGAATGCACCGTCACGGTTCGGCCAGAATGCACCCTCTCGCTTTGGCCAAAATTCGTCGTCTGGCTTTGGCCAGAATGCCTCGTCCGGTTTCGGCCAAACGTCCGGAGGGTTCGGCCAACAGCCTCCTGCGTCCGGATTTGGCCAGCCGCAGGCCGGTTTCGCAACGGACGGCTTCGCGACTTCCGGATTCGGTCAGTAACAACGTCGACCATGCCGCGCAGTTCTTTCGTCAGTCACCCAGTTACTTACCCCTTGTTGTCAGTTAACGCGCTTCAGCATCGAGTACCACTGGTAATATATTCTAACGGCTGCACTTAGTCCAACTTACGAGCCCGTGGTTTTTTTGCTAAGAAGTCCCCGCAAACGTTCAGTACGAACGGTCAAACACCAAAATTGATCTGAACTTGGCCGTAGTTGACTAAGTATGTCACGTATCACCTGTTCGTCGTTTTCTTTCGCTCTCACTTGTACCCCACTTTCGACCGTTGTTTTTCTTCCTCCTAAGTCCACCTGGCGGTTCCGCTCGCATGTACAATTCTTCCCGACGAGGAAGGGCAAACAACATTTCTTCAGTGCGTGCCATTGTTTAAGAAAGTTTCATCGAAAACCGTGCCCTTCCTCTTCTTCCTCCAGCGACCGTTTTTACATGAACTTCGTACACTCGTCGTATTGCAGTTTCGCATTCGTTCTTTTCGAGAGTTCTTGTCGTGAGTGTATTTACTCCTATGAGCTCTGGCATCCATTTCTTCTCTTGCTCGATGCGTTATTTTGCACAAGCCTAACCAGGCGGAGTTTTACACTGAATAAAGAGGTGCAACTAAGTCGTTTCGAATCACGTCTTAAGCAAAACAGCGGCAGGTTACAAGAGATTCTGGAGGTTGAGATCGGCCTGCAGACGGATATATCCGTTCTCGACTCGCATCGATTCGTTCTGGCTTGGAATGCGCAGGAATTCCTTCACTTCTACACCTTCGCCAACGAAGATCTCCACGGCCTGCTCGAGGAATGGAACCGACATGCTCATGATGACGTCGACGGTCTAAATGCGCATGGCGTCAAATGAAAAACACAGATGCTCTTTGCCGCCACAAGCACGGGGTTTTGACTGTGGAAGCATGAGGCCTATGTAGGAAAATAGGTGCGCTACAGTGCGCACATGCAGGGATATGCGCCGTTTGCGAATTTTTAAGCGTTCTAGTTTCCGAACCAGCTGGCCGTTTGTTTTCATTCCCTCCTGTAAGATTTCTCAAGTAGCACTTAGGCATCAGATGTATGCAGGGCATGCGAAAATGAAATGTGTCCGCTCATAAAGGTGCTGCATAGAAGTTTACCTTCTGCGACATGTTCTCGATCTTGCTCTCCACGAGAATCGCCCTCGAGTTCTTGAGCTTCAGCTCGACCTCCAACTTTCGGTCCGTCATTTTCATCTTGATGTCCGCCTCGCAGGTGATCTCCAGCTTGAGCACCGGGTCCCGGGCGGAGGTTCGATGCCGCGACGTCATCGGCTGGTCCCGTAAAACGCCATTAGAGAAGCCGCGAGTCAGCTTCGCCCCGACTACCCTCCTCTGGTGGTACCACGGTGAGCGGCGAACGGCAAATTGCGGCAAGGCAAGATGTGGCAGGACGGGATGTGGCAGAGCCGGATGCGGCATTATCAGAGGCATCACGCGTCGCGGTCCCGGGCGCGGCGGTCGGACGAAGTGCTCGGACGAAATGCTTTCCGATAGAGACCATTCGTGTTCAGGAAGTCCTGGAAGCCCAGGGAGGGCCGGCACCTCCGTCACCGATACAGGTTCAGGTGGTATACTAGGTCGGACGGATGTGGCTCTTGGCGGCTTGATTGAACCGATGCGCACCGAAGGAGGCTTTCCAGGTTTTGCGTATGTTGGCAGAGGAGGTGGTGGCTCAGTTGGCGGCGCAGGTGCTGGAAATGGTGGCGGTGGGATCCTGTCGAGCACAAGGTCGTCTTCAAAGATCTGAAAGCGCAAGGTGAGCGTGTAGTATTCGGTCTTCATTCGTCGACAAAAATCTACATTGTAAAAATGTTGGTGCAGCAGTGATCAGCAGCGCTGAAATTCTGGGGCCGTCTCAATGATACTTCTTTCTCAGAGTTTGTTTGTGGAGCATTCGGATAGGCTTTTTATCCGTGCGTCCGAGTCGACCGTACCTCGAAGGAGAAGTTGAGAAAGATGTGCGCACGGCCGTCCATGAGTCTCAGAATCGGTGGGTCGTTGGTACGCACCTAATGGCGGAGCATGCGTCACCTAGGTCGGTAAACGTGTTGCTGGAACATACCTCAACGGAGAGAGAAGTAACGCCGAGTGTAGTCTTGAGCTCGGGCACGATCTTCCCGAGACAAATGTATTCGCATTCGGTCTGCAAGAATGGTGAGCTCATGTTAGCGACGAATTGTCCAGAGTGATGCGTGGTCGCTATGATTTCCTGGAGCGTTGGTTCATCCAGAAACAATTCGATCACTCGGCCATGAGGTGACACTAAAAGTAGTATGTAATAACCTAGTCGATCAGCGTGTTTATCGTGAATTTGACATCGTACATGGCTCTGCATCCGGAAGATCCATCGGCAGGGTGGAGATAGTTTCGATCATTTGCCCGTTTGTAAAGAACTTGTTCTTCATCCGCAGGTCCACGTGGTTGTTGGAGGTCGCAATCGAGTGCAACGATTGAGTCAGACGGATGTCGCTGGAGAACTCGAGCTCAAAACAGCGTGGCACTTTCTCCAGCTGGAGCTTGAGCCAGGGCAGCAGCTTCTCGCTGATCATGCGGCAATAGGCCTAAGAGGCAACACTGGCTTGATAATGTACGCGGGTAACAACACGTAGACGTGTTCAACAGGTCATACTTACTTGTTCCACCCGACTTTGCATTGCATTACTGAGCATCTTGTGAAACCAGTGCAAGATTTCGGCTGCTAGCGAACCGGACAGGTGGATGTCGAAGTCACGAAAGCGTGCAATGCATTGGTGCATGAGGAGTTCATTCGACTTAGTTATCTGTAAGCAATGTGTTAAACAAGTGCGAATCATACCTCCACGCAACATACTTCGACGGCGACGTCTGACGTAAAGCCTGTGACCGTTCCGTCCACTTTTCCATGCAGCGGTATACCAAGCATCTTCAAGAACTTCGAGTACATGGACCACTCGGCAAGGACCTGCAAGGGTCTCAGTGACAACCACGTTAGAATTAAGTCCGCAACATGCCTGAGCGCTACCTCCGACCGTAGTCATGTACAGAAAAGAGTTATCGGACGGTCGGTAGTGTATGACTGGTGGAGAGAAGTGTTTCACGCTAATGTTGGTAAGCTCGACTTCGCCGGT